TTTTAGCTGTTACCATAGACTGGTTTGAGTTGGAAAGGACCTTAAAGATCATCTGGCTCCAACCCCAACCACGGGCAGGGAGTTTTCTTTTGTATTGTAACAGGGATTCTTAGCCTTATTTATTCTCCTCGTGTAACAATATGACACTCATTGAGAATTTCTGTAGAAGTCTTTTTTGTGTATTTTTCCCCAAACCAATTATGTCATTTTAATATTTGTGTCATAAAATGATTGTGTGTTTATAGGTTTATTCAGTGGTCAGCTGTAACTAGGATCACCAGGCTAGGCAACGAAACAGTTGAAACAGTTGTAGGAGGATAATACACCTGGGAAGTTATGTTGCCATTGCTATCAAAGACTTTTTCTCCTCACTGTCAGTTCTGGATTCCACAAGGGACTTGATTGCAGTCTCATTTTTGGACTGGTTGTCGTCTTCTTCCCTGTTGCAGCTTTAAATACTGGCCAGTGTGAGGATGAGGATCCTGCTCAGTGCTAACTCCTGCCATCTGCTAGTGAAGGACATCAGCCCATCCTTCCTTCTGCTCTCACCCTTTCCAACGTTTTGTGTGATTTCAAAGAGTACTTTTTCAGGCATAGAGCAGGATTTTAGTACTTTTTATTTAATTGGGCTCCCTGCATATTTGTTTTGAGAGGGTGCATGTTTTAGTGTGACATCAGTTGTGAAAGTGTTTGTTCTGAGTTGCTCGAAATGTATAAACAGCTTGTAAATCAATAGGCTGTGTCATGGCAAACCTCACTCACTTTGTGTAGTGCAGTGGTTAGAATAAAGCAACACAAAAGGTTTCAAGTTCTGTAAAAGAACAAATTGACATAACCTTAGGTTTGGATCAGTTCAGCAGATCTTGGAACGGGAATACCAAGATACCTGTTTGTTTTTTCCCTTTCTTTGTCTTTTTTAACCCCAGAGACCAGCACTTCCATGTGGTGGTGCTGGCACTCCAGAGCCTGCTGGCTGTCTCATGTTCAGCTGCTGCCCAGCTAGTGACAACTGGATGTTCCAGAATTCCCCTAATCCAATCTCTCCCAGGGACTTGGCAGGATCACGTGGCACTGGATGTGCCATGCAGGCTTCCTTTTCCTGTGAGGGCTGTTGGTGGGGTCAACACATGGCATGACACAACACACTGCCACTGGGTTCCCCCTGGGGTGTGCTGGGACCCAGCTGTCCATCAGCTGTGTCCTACATGAATTCTTCCTTGGGAGAGTATTCATAGAATCACTGAATGATGCAAGACATGCAAGAATTCATCTTGTGTGGTTTAGTTGGTCTAAAGCCAACTAATTTAGTTGGTTTTATCCATATGCCAAGCCTACCTGGGAGCTTCAGCATCCCAAAGCCCAGGGTGGGTCCTGTATCCTTTGGTTCAGACACTCTGATCTTCATGAGCTGTCCCCTGCCACTCTCTGCCCCATATGATAGTGCAGGTGTGTTTTGGTCACTAGTCTGTTACCTGGCTTTTCATCCCCACCTCTTTTACTTCAGTTACATAGTTTTAATAATTAGACTATACTGAATAAGACCAACTTTATAATAAACAGGCATAACTTTTTCTGCTGCTGTAGCCTCTCCCAGGCCAGGTTCATGGGCAGATGGTGGCCACGTGGTAGCACTGGACTTGCTCTGAGTTCCCAGAAATAACTGTGTAATGGGAAATGCTAAATTGGAAACTCTAAAACAACAGGCTGCAGAGGCAGAAAGGAGGCCACGCATGTTCTTTGAGTGGAGGATGATGTTCAGAGACCTTTTTGTGCTACCACATAAGCGTGAGTGCTCAAGTTCATGAAATGTGCTGTGGTTATGCAGATCAATTCAGGTACAGTTCTTACTCTTCAAGGATACTCTGCATCCCACAGGGAGTGCATCTAGTTCACAGGAATTGTTAAGCAACCAGACTTTTACCTGCATGTGCTTCTGCTAAGGG